GAGATGCCAACAAATCTGAATAATATGTTTCCCACTCGGAATGATCTTCGTGATAAGCGTGTGCATGAACGATTGAAGAATGATTTAATCGAAATTATTTGGAACAAATTTAGTGATGAAGATTAATAATTAGTGTATCTTTATATTTAATCATTGTATCTTTGTTTTTAATCATTGCAATTAATAAAATTTCACTTTCAATTTCAAAAAAAAAAATATTCTAAAAAAAATATTTTTTTTAATTCTAAGAACTCCATCGTCGGATTCACCATTGGACGACCTGTTTTGATTCAAATCCTTAATTATTCAGAAAGAAAATACTAAAATATTTCTAAGGATTCATGTATGGGATTCACCATTGCATGTGCTCTAAACCCGATTGTGGACAAACAAAAACAGATGTCACTCCAATATTGTATCATTGGTTTTACAGAACCTAAACATTAATAAAATGATTATAATAGTAATATTTATTTTTCTTTAAGAATCTTGGAGGGCTTCGAACGAACGGTGCTCTTACTAGGGGTGGGCACAATTACTTGTTACTCGGCTTGTACTTGCTACTTGATTCGTACTTGGCTCTTAAAGTCGAGTACTCGTTTTGTCCAAGTCGAGTATCAAGTCTTTTGTTTCAATTACTTGCAAGTATAAGACAAGTACCAAGTACTAAAATAAAAATAACTACTTGGCGTTGTTGGCTTGTTACTCGTGATTTATTACTTGATTTATTACCCGTTTTTTATTTTTAGACAAAAAAATCTCTAAATTATAATCAAATTACTTGTTTATAAAACAAATTAATTAAAAGTGATATATTATAGAAATCTTTTAAAGTTTTCTTTTAATTTTATATTTATCATATATCGATTTAAAAACATATGAAAAGTAAATAGATATTCTTTATTAAAAATTGTTTAGATTATAGTTATAACTAACTAAATTTTTTTAAATTCATATTCAAGATTTAAGTAGCAAACGTTAACAAACTTTTATTAAATAATTTATAAATAATTATATAATCATTTATAAATTAGTTGAGATGCAACAAGTAGTAAAACGGAGCAAGTACTTGCAAGTATACCATTTTTTAGCAAGTACTTGAAAGTGCAAGTAATCATTTTTAATAAACCAAGTACAAGTCCAAAATTTTATTACTCGAATAAACCAAGCCAAGTACCAAGTAAGCCAAAAATGGCAAGTACTTGGCTTGTGCCCACCGCTAGCTCTTACTAATTGTGAATCATTATGTTGTATCTTTAGCATTTTATCCTTTTATTGTGGTTTATGCATTAGAAGTTTTGAATCTTCTTTTATATATCTTGTCACTCTTACGGATTTTCAGTATGTTATTTTAAATAGAAGATTTGCATATTATAAATCGTGTTTAGATTCTTTTATATAAAATTATAAGATTCTTGAGTCGGGCTAATAATTTAGATCTAAAAATGTTAAACAAACCTCTTATATAACTCCTACGGATGATTTGATTTTAGGTAGAATTTTACCATACATATACGGCCTTTAAAAGGAATTCATCCAAATTATTGAGAATACATGATCCTTCCATGACAATTGCATACTTTGCATAAAGATATAAATCATTAGTAAGAATGTGACAAAAGCAAAAGAAATAAGAGCTTAGAAAGATGAGTACATGCTTGCTTTCTTTTATGTGGGTTAAAGTTTTTTTTTTATAACTTTTATAAAAGTTACTGCAATTTTCGCCAAATTTACGAACTTAGTATTGATTTTATTACTTTCTAATAATAAGTTGTTTATAATTGTTTTGTAAGGGTGCTTTCTAAAATGGATAAAAAGTTTGCTTTGCTATTGCTTTTTGTAGCAAAAATTTGACTTTAACAGTTGAATTAATATATTTATTTAACAAGTGATGTACACTTTACTTATTAGAATGGTTATCGAGGGGCTCACTCATATATCACTGAAAGGAACACTCGTTGCGTAGTTTATATTACTTATTTAGTGTATATGTTTTAGACTAGTTAACATGGATTAATAGGATTAGAAAACTATGACTAAGCTATATAAAAAGATGCACACGTATTAGATGCGCCATCTATTGTTCTCCGCCAACACTTAAGCAGTGACTCCAATTGACAATAACTTCTAATATAATGGTTGCTTATGGGTCTTTATGTAGTTGTGAACTTATGGTTTAGTAAGTTGTATGATCATTACTGTGCTAGTTTTTAACAAAACTGGGTTTAATTTCATAGATCAGTTATTAGGAGTTACATATGCAATACTATAGTCTACATTTGATATTCAAAACAGTTTTTTTTTCCTTTTTTCTTCTCGTCTACAATTCGTGTCATGTATAAGTTCTCAAATAGTGAGCGCTGCATATTAGTGATTAGGTAGGGCTACGCAAAACTACATTAACCCGAACTATATCCAAAAATCTGATCCCAGTCTGATTTGTTTTTAGAAAAATACCTGAAATGGGTTAACATTAAGACATTTCGAATATCTCGTAGGATTCAGTCCAAACTCAATCTAGCATCTGAAATTAAATAAACGTATTAACTTTTCTATATAAAAAGGGATAATCCGGATGCACTTGAGTATTTTCAGAGAGGCTGAATGTTTTTATACTGAGATATTCTTATAATTCGGTTACATTGTATAGTTTGAGGTATTTAGAGTAACTTATCTTATAGTTTTTGGATAGCTCCGATATTTTAAAATATCTTGGTTAATTTTGCTGGTTTCGTATATTGAGTTAAAAGATGACATGAACCAAACATAGAAAAAACAAACCAAATTAAATTAAAAACATCCAAATCTATACTATTATTTGCGAAGTGATTTTTCGCAACGGAGCTCTCACGTTTAAAGTTAGAGCGGTTAATATCTATTTTACCCTTAATGAAATTTTTTAAATTTCGTTTTTAATTATAAAATTAGTTAAAATAAGATTAGTATGTTATTATCTTAGATAAGTGAGAATAATTAATATAATAAGTTTATAAAAAATCAAAAATAAGATAATTCTTATATATGTTATTATTATCTGAATATAATATTGTAACAAAATGATAATGTATATATATCTTAATTTTATATATAATTGATTTTTACTTTTGAAAATAATATCATTCTATAATAAATTTTAAAATTAAAATATAAAAATCGCTTTTAATTAAATATTAATCAAACAAAGACATTTGTATAAATATACTATTAATTATATAATTAAATATTAGATATTAAAAATTAGAACGGTTCAAGTTAATGATACCTTTAATAAAATTTATATATCTATATATAAATTAGTTAAAAACGAATTTTATGTTAGTGATAAAAATTTATATGTTATTATATTAGTTAATTTATTATAAATAAATAGGATAATTATCCACGTTCATGCATATTTAAAACATAAGATATCTTATAGAATATTATACAGTTATCTGAAAATAATATTTGTATTATGAAAAATAAAAATATAAGTTATAAACAATTTAAAATTAAATATTAAGAAAAACTATAAATATATTTCAAAAATATTTTATTATATGGATGTTTTTCAACACTATAATAAGTATATAGATTTAATGAAAATTCATATAAAATATTTTAATGTTTGATTTAAGTTTTTTAAAACTATAAAAAATAACTTATAATATTATTTTAGAATTAATAAAACAAAAAATAATAATTATTCGTAAGAAAATTATGCCCGCATATGCGGGCACAACACCTAGTCGGATATGTGAATGTAAACTGTAAATAAATATGAAGAACTAAACTCGGACCCAAACTGCCAACCTAAAAGGTTATGAACTTGATTGAGCTTGTTTTAAAAATGTATTTTATCTACTGCAAATCAAAGGGTTCAAATCTCAGTGCATGGCATTAAAGCAATGCATGTAAATCGAATATAATTGATGGTTTTGGAATTCAAAGTGGGAATGATAATACCTAAGACGTACTTTCACTTCACTAATACCAAAGAAGAATAAAATGATGAAATTAAACTTAAAGTGTAGAAAAAAACGAAAGATTCTTTAGTAAAAGCCAATTAGTGCAATCCTTTAACGAAGAAAAATAAAAGCCAAGCACTGGATTATAGTAGCAGACATTAAAGACGGGTTGTCTTCTTTTTGACCCGTTTGATGATAATCTTAAGTACACCTCTATGAGGTCAATGAATGAGAGGAATCCTATGCAAAATGCAACGTGTGTTGGACACGTACGTACGTAAACTTATACTATCGTTCAAATGACAGTCAAATATTAATGAACGGTGCATAACAAGCAAATCTTCCCGTAAGTAGTTATGTTGTAATTACTAGCATAACTACTTGGTTAGTTTGCTATAGTTATGTTGTAATTACGACATTTGAACGATATTAGTACGTTATTAGTATAATAGGAATGCTAGTAATTACAACATAACTACTTGGTCAGTTTGCCATTCAAATTACTAGCAATAACAAAATACTATTCACTTATAGAAATATTGAAGATTAGAACTTAGAGAAATTTAATTTCCATTTGGTGGGAAACTCATCATCCTCAAGCCACATCATAATAGGAATGCTTGTTCATAATATACATGCTTCATTTTTATCCACCTTTGAAAGTTTCAAATTTCATAATTATTCACGCCCTTTTTGAGGCCTTGGATTGAACAAAAGGTTCTGATGTGGTCCATGCATCTATCCATTTCAAACACGTAATAGAATTGTTGTTTAGTTTAGCGTTAAAAACAATTCCATCCCTCGCAAATTTTGTATAACACAGACTAATTGAATAATGAAATATGCATGCAATTTCGATTTGCTGCCACAGAAACTAAAAGTCTTAGCGTCTCGTACGATTAAGAACTCAACTGCTTCAAAGTTTGATGAAAATCGTTATTGCATAGTAACTAGTAAGAAATAAGAAGGTAAAATAAGAATACATTAAAGCAAACGTACATAGTAGGAGACCGATATAAGAACAACACTTCCTAATTTTACCAGACAAAGATCCTACGAGATATGAAACGAGACAAATAAACAAAAAGAAAAAAAATCACGACTCAAATGGTCGTTATCTTGCTTCGGTTCTTCACTAGTTTTATCTCTTCTAACGCGACCTGCATCCAAAGAGAAAAAAAAAATCAAAGGATATGTTAGAATACCTTTTCAGTCATGAGGTCTCACATTTTATATTAAATGAAAATCGTATGTACACGTACGTTTTTTTGTTAATGTTGGAAAACCTTCTTAATAAAAAGTTCAACGTAAATATAAGTATTCCCACCATATATATATATGCGACACAAAATCATTATTTCTTTGCATATTTCCTGGATATGGGTTGGTTAGAATATGTACTGTATATCAAACTAGCATATGAATTCTGAGGAAATAATATGTTGTGTGGCTTGTGATTAGAAAAATATAATATTAATTGTTGAATGAAATTCACTGAAGAATATCTAGCAACAAACCATTTTCTTGAAGATGATGAAGAAAGTTAGGACTAGTAGGGTGAATTAGTGGCCGGTTCCTTTGGGGCGTTGCACCTGAAACATTCTGACCTGCTTGCGAAGTTGTGTTCATTGCAGCCTGGCCTATATGCAATAATACAAAACCAATCAGTTTCTATTTTTTTTTAGCTTACGTAAGCCCGCGAGCATGCATGACTTATTGAGATACAGAGATAGTAACGTGCCCAACTGCCCATATACATTGTCATGAACCATGCACACTGAACAAAAATTACCTCGAGCAAATCCAATCTCCAGATTTCCACGAAGAACGTCCCATGCTGCCGCCTCCACCACCACTGCTGCTACCAAAACCAAAAGGGCCTCGTCTTGGACCATCATTCATGTCTAAAAACCCGGTGGCTGCAGCGGCAGCCGAGCGTGAAGACTCATCTTTTGCAGCACCACACGTGAAACAGGTGGACCTGCTTGCGAAATTGTGTGTCCCACAATTTCCAAGGCTGCAGTACCAATCACCTGGTCTCACGTCAGGCCCCGTGCTGAAAGCAAAAGAGCTACTGATTGGACGGCTTGTGAAACCACCGACCAAGTCGGCAATGCTGCTTGTTCTGGGCTCTCTGCAACGTTGGCATGAATCCCTTCTCTGGAAGTTGAGGTGGCTACACAATCGGCAGTTCCAGTCTCCTGGCCTATTCATCGTCTTCTACGGCCACATAGAGAAAATATAAATAAATAAAATTAGAGGTATAAGTATACACAAATGAAACTTTATATAGTATTTTGACATGATTCATATGATTGATTACCTGTGGATGTTAGTCGTAAACAATTGAAGAAAGTAGAAGTGAGTAGATGAGATTTTAGTGTTAGAGCATATACATGTGATGTTGGACTCCCTCATATATATATATATCGACAAAGCACAAGGCTCTTCCTTTAACAACCGGGAACATTTTTTGAAGTAAAATTAGGGTTTCAATTGGTTTTTACTTTCTTATTTTTGTTTCAGCTTTAATGCATTTCCTTTAACGTAAACTAACGTTTTCCAAAAAGAAACAAAATTATAAATACATATCGAGGACTTTAGATTTTTTTCTATCATTTTAGGGGCCACTACTAGTTCAAACAAAGGAAATAAATTAAAACAAGGTTAAAGCTTCCAATATCAGCCGTTTTCGTTAGGCTTATGCTTCACAAAAGCTAATGCATATTGCCAAATTCAATATTCACATTGTTGGACAGATGTGGGTTTTTTCATAAAAAATACTATATTCATTTCTAGCTTATTCCCTTGAAAATTCACCAATTCAACTTCGGTACATGAAAAAAAAAAAACAAAACTTCGGTACATGGGTGCATAATATGATCTCGTGCGTGTCAGGAGTAAAAAGGATGCAGTCAGAAAAAAAATCAGAGGCAGCTAAAGCAAAAGTTGCATGGCAACAGTTTCAAGGAACGTATCGGTTCCCTTAACTACGAATATTTACTTCTCCCTTCTTTAATTTTAGTCTTTTAAGTTTTAATGCTTAGATAGAACTTGTTCGTGATTCTCAAACAAAACCCAAGGAGAACATCAAAAGCTTTGATTAAAGAAAACAAGAATAGTTGAATGGTAAAGGTATAGTCTCCGAGGTTTGAATCTTGACCATCTTTGTGTCATTTGAATTTGTCTGCTAAAACACAATTTCATATACTTTGTTAATTCCTTTTCATTCAAATCTGCAGGTTACAAATTATACATATTGTCGCCTGTGGCACACTGCAATCGCTGCTTTTTATTTACCGTCATTTCACCTTTTCATCTGTGTATCACAAATTTAACACTCCATCCTTCAAATATAGAAGAATCTTGTTCTTGAAAAGTAAATATGTCTCGCTAAAGTAAAGGTGACTCAGTTGTAAGATAATAAGACAAAAAAACCACAGTAAGGTATACATGTGGAATGCCACGAATGATTAATATAGCTTTCAATAGAAATTCTTAAATATTTTGACCAAAAAAAAAAAGAATAGAAATTCTTAAATATAATAAAATTAAATAAAATATATGGATACTAAGAAATATTAAAACTATTTGACGTTTTTCTGTCAAAGTGTCACTTTGACATTGTAATTGTGTTTTTTACATCGGTTTTGATACAATAAGAATTATTTTTGCTACTATAACGAGTAAAATCTAACTAATAAGTTAAAATGGCTAGAAAAATAGAAATCTTTTTAAGATTTTCAGTTATAAATATAAATCTACTACCCAAAATATACTCATTCGCAATATATTAAATTATTTATTGTACAAAAGTAAAATCAAGATGTAGTTAGTTATCTTAAGTCTATTGTATGATTTTGTTATAACCTATAATTGATTCACCTTAAACAAGTCTGTATATACTATTTTCAAAGTGTTTAGTGACGTACATCGTGGATTAAAGCTACAACTCATACTTGTACAATTGTTTTGTATACGAGGCTAATGCCTTATCCATAAGTCCATGTAAAAGCTAACTTGAAATTGTGGAAAATAGTGGGTGATTATAAAAGAAGTACTATATAGACATGGAAGAAAAAAAGGAAAACGGGAAGTAGGAGAATATATAAGAATCATACTTAATAATTAGTAAACCCACCACATTGTCTCGGGGAATGGTAAAGAAAAGACTGACGAACACAAAAGAAAAGAGGGAGAATCTATTCGATTCTCTTTGGGAAATGCTTCCACTTCCATGCATCTGTTATCTATCATCATCTGAATGTCTATTTATCCAACGTATTTTTTTTGGGAAGCTACAATTATTTTACGAGTAATATGATCAATCTCGCGCAAAGATACCTAGCTAGAACATTTCCAGCTGATGGAGTTGAGTTATTCATTTGAGGGGAGTAATCACATACTTATATTACTACTGTATTCATTTGAGTTCTATCATATATTTATATTAGTATTTGTAATATTAGTTCATTTGTATATTGTAATTTTAACTTTAAACAAAATTAACAATTCAGAATGTGTCTATTTATAAAAAAATAGAACCACACCATAAGAAAAGTAAGACACTAAATCACATAAACAGAAGAAAAGTAAGACACTAAATCATAGGAGAAATAACATAAATTATTTGGAATATCATAAGTTGGATACCAGTTTTCAAAAAGTATATATTATATCAAAAATATTATAATATTTGAGTTTAGGTTTACTGGTTGTTTTTTAAAGTTTAACTAGATTTCGACCCGCACAACCGTGCGGGTATTTTAATACAAAAATATTTAAAATTATATAATAAAATTTATCAGTAAATAAGTATAATTTGATTATATATGCTATCCAATTTTATAATAAGTTTTATGTGACTTATAATATTATTAATATAAAATTTATAAATTTTATTTTTGTAACAATTTTTAAAAACATTATTATGTAAGATTACCAATTTCTATATTTTTTATTTCTAAATTTGAAATCTATGTAAAAATAAATTAAGTTGGACTTACATAATACATAAATTTTTTTTGGGATATTTTTAAAAGTATTTTACATAATTTTAATTTTTTGTTTATAAATTAAAAATGAATTAAATTTTAATTATATTTTATGATAGTTAAAATTTTAATCAAATAATTATTGAAACTATATCTTAAAAAAGATTCTAAAAGATTTTTAAAATATTTTTAAAATATTTTGTTAGAATTTTTATTAAAACAATTTATTTGTATTTCAAACAAAAATTAAAGATATGAAAAGATATTATAATGCTATGTAAAATTTTATATAATTCTAGAGATGGTCCAAACTAAAATATCACACATGAAATGAGTCATGACTTCTCTTTTAATATAATAGATATTTAGGAGATGAAATTGAGTTTTTTTCAAATGTTTTTATAAATTATTTTTAAACATCTAGGAAAGTTAATTTAATCCTTCATCACAATACTTATGAAAACAGTTATTTTTTATAATAGATTTGGAAAATGATATCAAATTTATGGTAAAATTGAAATTTCTACGAAAGCAAAAATAAATCGGAAAGCCTTTTTCAAAAATAAATAAATAAATCGGATAATCAAAGACCAAATGCACGTTTAACTAATAAAACCAAAGCATGATGATCAAAAATATTTCAAACCATATATTTGACGAAAAAGCTTTTCTGCATAGAAACATGCACCATTTATGCAAAAAAACCACACTTGAAATACATGTATGGAACCTCTGCCCTGATACCTTATAAGATGTTTTTTATTTATAATTTAATAGAAGTATTAGAGATTACTATAGAAAATTGTAAAAATGCATTTTCTATTTCAGAAATTAAATTTCTGGTTATAATATTCAACACAAATTTATTTAGTTTACGCAGAGTATTTAAATATTTTATTATTATTTATAAATCCCTCTCTAAAAATATATGGTTTTAAATTTGTGATAAAAGGGAAAAACAACAAAGTAAAAACCAACTATATGGCGACAAAAAAGACGATTTGGTTTTTAGGGTTTCGGCGGTTATTTTTCTGGTTTCTCACCGCCTTCCGATCTCTCATACCCGGTATTCTCGGTGATGGCTTGATGTGAGTATCCAAACTTCTCCACATCCTGATAGTTATCCCCATGATTGCACACCACGATCGTGATGAATTAAAATCTCAACTTCCCAGAAGTTTGATTTATATAAATTCTGACTCACAAAGATCAAATTCATCACTTTTGCAATCATATTTCAACCATTACATCTCTCATCTGTGCTTGAGTGACTTTCAAATGATGGCGGCTAATTTGCGAAGGGGAATTCAGAACATTAATCTGGGTGTTGAAGATCCTCCAGTTTTATTACCGATTCAAGTCATCAATGAAGCTGTGGCGGAGAATCGGTTCATCATCATTGGAAGGCCAGTGATGTCCAGGAAACAAAACATAAGGGCAATTATTGCTGCGCTCCCATGATCTTGGAGATATGACGGTGTTCAAGGAAGACGTTTCCAATTTGTCTTCCCGTCTGAAGAAGCCCTAGACATGGTGTTACGACGGGGGTTTGCTGATCGAATGTTGATCATGGGCTTTTAACCCTCTCCTCCTCAACTTCATTCCGTTATGGATTCAAATCTGCAGATCCCTTTCCAATTCATGAGTCAAGACGTGGTGATTCACATTGGACGTGCGCTTGGCATGTATATGGAAGTGGATTACAATGCAGAGGTCACTGTTAGGAGAGAGTTTGCTAGGGTGCGAATTAATTGGAATGTGGATGAGCCCCTGCGTTTTGAGAAGCATTTTCAATTCACTCAAGGGGTGAATACTCTACTGCGGTTCACGTATGAGCGCTTACGAGGATTTTGTGAAGTATGCGGTATGCTGACTCATGACTCCGGAGCATACCCGGTCCAAAATGGAGGGCCTGCTAATGATGATGATGAAGACAGTGGGGATGAGGAAGATAATGCAGATGATGGGGGGCATAACGTTCCGGGAATCATTATTGAAAAGATTGTGGAAGAGACTCAGGAAGGAGTTGCTGTAAGAGATCCAGATGAGGTTCTCGAAGAAGAATATGAAAGGGGAATTGTTATCATTGAAGAAGAGGCTGATGATGATGAGTTATGGAATGGGTTAGCAAAGCCAACAATGTTCACGGAGGATTTCAACATGGAAGAGATGTTCAACCCAGGCACTGCTTTTGGAAATCGACGCGATGGGAAGAAGTCTTTAAAGAGAAAGGAGTGGATGGATTAAGCTTCTGGTAATGTAGCCAAATTCACCAATATGGAGCAAGAGGGATTCAGTGAGAGGAAGTACACTAGACGTAAGAAGAATGTGCTTGTCTTTACAGAGAACACGGTTGCCAACAAGGAATCTGGTGACTCGATAATTAACACTAATGTGGGAGGCGCGGTGGGCCCTAAACCACCACTTCCACCATGAGGACACTGTGCTGGAATTGTCGAGGTTTAGGCATTGACTCGACAGTTCGACGCTTTAAGGAGATCAATCATATGTATCTCCCGGACATAATATGCTTATCAGAAACAAAACAACAAAGTAACTATGTCAGATACGTAGGTGTTAAGTTAGGTTTTCTTAATTCTGAAGTTGTTCCACCAGTGGGTGTTGGAGGTGGTTTAGTAGTTTATTGGAAGCAGCATATTCATCTATCAGTTCTTAGTCAGTATGTAAATCTAGTTGATTGTAAAGTTGAATGCAATGAAACTTCTTTCTACTTTTCGTTTTGTGTATGGACACCCAAATCCTTCATTAAGGCATCATACTTGGGAGAGGTTAACTCGTATCGGTATGTCTCGAAGGAATTAACCCTGGTTTGCCTTAGGTGATTTTAATGACATTAAAGGCAACCATGAAAATATTAGTGGAACCATTCGACCGGTTACATCTTTTCAGAACTTCAACCAGATGATGCGCGATTGTGATTTTACTGATCTTCAGACAAATGGCAACATATTCTTATGGGTTTGACAGCGAGGAACTCATGTAGTACAATGTTGCTTGGATCGTACTATGGCAACCTCTAATTGGTTTTCTAAATTCCCAGCTTCACACACTGACTTTCTTGAAATTGGAGAGTCAGATCATCGGCCTCTAGTGACCTTTATTCTCACAGAACAAGAGGTACCAAGACGATGGTTTCGGTTTGATAGTCGGATGGTTAACAAAGATGGTTTCCAAGATTCAGTTGTGAGAGGGTGGAATGGTACTGGGCAAGGAAAGCTGTTGCGAATTCCATTAGCTCAGAGATTAAGATGATGTCGTCAACATATATCGACATGGAAAAGGAACAATAAGAGTAACGCAGTGGAAAAAATTGGAATATTACGGAGTAAATTGGATAAAGCCATGACCTCAAAAACTACCAGTCTACAAGAAAGAACTGCTATGAAAGAGGAGCTTAATAAAACTTACTTGGATGAAAAAATCTATTGGAAACAAAAGAGTCGACTATCTTGGTTGCGATCAGGAGATGGAAACACTCAATACTTCCATGCAGTAACACGGGGAAAGCGGATTAAAAATACCATTACATCCATTCAAGACAGTGAAGGGGTAGTAAGGAAAGGTCAACAAGAGATAGCCAAGACTGCAGAGAATTATTTCAAAGGATTGTATACTTTTGAAAATACTGATCCACAATTATATAATGGAGTTTTCCGGGGTTTTCCAAAACGTGTTACAGATACTATGAACCTTCGTGTGATCACAGAAGATGAAGTTAAGTCTGCTATTTTTGATATGGATCCTCATCGTGCTCCTGGCCCAGATGGATTTTCTGCTATCTTCTATCAACAGTTCTGGGACGATATTAAAACATATATAATGTAGGAAGTATCTAGTTTCTTTCATCAAGGTGATGGTCTTGATGAGTAGAATAACCACACAAACATTTGTTTAATCCCGAAAGTATATCCTCCTACAGGTATGACAAATTTTAGGCCGATAGCTCTCTGCAATGTATCCTACAAGATCATCTCGAAGATACTGGTTAATCGTCTTAAGGCTCACCTATCAAGCATGATTTCTGAAACCAGACTGCATTTATTTCAGGGAGGATAATAACTGATAATGTGGTCGTTGCTCATGAAATTTTTCATAGTCTTAAAGTACGGAAAAGACAAGCAACATCATATATGGCTGTCAAGATAGATATCACCAAAGCTTATGATCGATTGGAATAGAGTTTTTTTAGAGGAAACAATGAAGAGGATGGGTTTTGATACAAGATGAATTCGAATGATTATGTCCTGTATTTCTTCAGTAAGCTACTCTGTTCTTATCAATGGATCTCTAGAAGGTTATATTTTACCAGAAAGAGGAATTAGACAAGGTGATCCACTATCTCCATACTTATTCATCTTGTGTGCTGAAGTCCTTTCTCGTATGATGAATCAAGCAATGGAGAATCGTTCTCTGCTGGGTGTGAAAATTGCAAACCAAGCTCCTCCGGTGAATCATCTTCTTTATGCAGATGATTCCTTATTATTCTCAGTGGCAAATAAAAAGGCGGCTTTGAAACTTAAATCAATCTTCAAGTTGTATGAGAGGTATCTAGGCAGTCTATAAACTTGAATAAATCTTCAATTCTTTTTGGAAGCAAAGTCCAGCCACATACCAAAATCCAAATGCGAAATTTATTGGAGATACATAACGAGGGTGGTATAGGTAAATACCTTGGACTTCCAGAACAAGTTACAAATAAGAAGAGTGACATGTTTGCTTACATTATTGAGAAGGTGAAGTCAGTCACACAAGGGTGGAAACAAAGACATTTGCCAAGCGGTGGGAAAGAAGTGTTACTCAAGTCAATCGCTCTTGCCATCCCGATATTTTCAATGAATGTTTTCTGATTGCCAAAGGAGGTCTGTGATGAGAAAGATGGTATTTTAGCGAAATTCTGGTGGGAAAATGGTGATAAAAAGGGCATGCATTGGTACACATGGAAAATGGTGTGTGTACCAAAACGAGAAGGGGGACTGGGTTTTCGGGATTTAGAGGCTTTTAACCAAGGTCTACTCGGCAAAACAAGTGTGGAGAATTTTACAGTATCCATCCTGCCTTATGGTGCGAGTTCTTAAGGCCAGATATTTTTCAGATTGTGATATATTGCAAGCAGTTCAGAAGAGTAAGGCATCTTATGCATGGAAGTCCATATTATACGGCAAGGAATTGGTTGCAAAGGAATGAAATACATAGTTGGGGATGGATCTCATATCAATATGTGGTCTGATCCATGGATTCCAGATCATACTCCACGTTCACCACTGCCAAATTTAAATGGAGCTTTGAATATGGTAAAGCTTAAAGCTTACTTCAGAGTTGATAGTAATGAATGTGATGAAAGGAAACTAAGAGAAGACGTTTCTGAAGAGGATGTTAACTTGATAATGAAGTTAAAGCTTAGTCCTCAGGCGAAACAGGATTTGTTAGGCTGGCACTATAATGAAGATGGACTATACATAATCAAGTTGGTCTATTGGTTAGCTACGCATCTACCGCAACACAATTCGATTGAACCTACATACGATAATAGGGAGCTAAATCATAAGATTTTGAAAACAAAATTATCACCGAAGTTCAAACATTTTGCTTGGAAACTGCTGTTAAAAAGTCTACCTTCTGGTGACAATTTGAAAAGACGACACATCATTCAAAATGCTCAGAGCCGACGTTGTGGACTTGCTGAGGAAACGGACTATCATCTATTTTTTACTTGTCCATATGCTCAGTGTGTCTGGAGAGCTTCAGGGATCTCAAACACGATTATAAATAGCCCCACATCTTCTTTGGAGGAAAAGGTTGAGACTTGCTTACAAGTGTCTTTATCCGCAAAACTGATTCATTTTCAAGATTTTCCTCTATGGATATTATGGCGGTTGTGGAAGAGCAGAAATTTTATGATATTCCAACAACGAGGTCAACATTGGATTAATGTTTTAAGATATGCAAAACGGATGCTCAAGAATGGAAAGCTGCTGAGAAGATGCAAGATGAGATACAAAATACTGCAAGAGTTAACCGATCTCAAGTGAAGCACACATGGAAAAAACCTGTTGCAGGCTGGATGAAATGCAACATGGATGGTTCATTTAATAATAGAAATATTCCGAGTATTGTAAGGTGGGTGGTAAGAAATAATCGAGGAACTTACAAAGGAGCTGTACAAGCGGAAGGGAAGAGTGTTTCTACATCTTTGGAGAGTGAATTACAAACCATATTAATGATTATATAATTTTGTTGGATTAAGGGTTATCGAAGGATCATTATGAAGGAGATTGTCAAAAAGCAGTTTAACTTCTCAATTATCAACATAAGAATTTTGATGCCTACAACTGGATACGGGAAATCAAACGGTGGGAACGGCTTTGAAGAAGTCTCATATAAGTGGATTGGACGAGAAGCGAATAAGGTGGCTGATAAGTTGGCAATACAGTTTCATCAAAATACTAGTTCTTATCAGTACCATCATTGTGTTCCATGTTTTGTAACTAATCTTCTTCGTGAAGATTATGTAAACACTATGCAATGATTAATATGAATCAGACGTTATAAAAAAAAAAAAAAAACAACAAAAAGAAAATGAAAAACCATGGTTAAAATAATAAACCGGGTGGTATGGTTCTAGTAGTAAACCAAACCACTAAACCCAGCAAAAAGACAAGAAACACAATTCCCAAATTAACTAACTGATTAGGGCAGAAGAAGAAGAAGAAGAAGACAATCCAATCCATGGCGGACAGAGTCGCAGAGAAGCCATGCCGAGTTCTCGAGTTCTACAGTGGAATCGGTGGAATGGTAACTCTCTCCTCTTCACCTCTACTCTACGCTCATACTAAAACCCTAATCCCTGTTTTTTTAGAGATACTCTTTAATGGCGTCTGGAGTTGTGGCAGAAGTAGTAGAAGCGTTTGAGATCAATGATGTTGCCAATGATGTTTACCAGCATAACTTCGGACATCGTCCCCATCAGGTTTGCTTCTTGTTCTCAGTTTCTGTTGAAGAACTAAAGAGAAAAAAAAACTAATGTTCAAGTAATTGCTTAAGCCCTAGTTATGTCTTTTATATGGGTTTATTAATTAGGAGAATGCTTAAACCGATTTAAAAAAAAAATGTTTTGAAAAAATCGTTCAGCTTAGGGTTGATTTGCTGACCAATTTTTAGAACAATGAGAGAAACTATGCATCTCCATTTAGAGCCCTATGTGTTTCTTTTGCTGCAAGCATTGTTACGTTTGTAACTTTGTACATGATGCTGGTTTCATGTCTTAAAGTTCATGAGTTGTTTTAGTTTCAAGTATGATCCTCAACTCGTTTTTTTTTTTGTTCTGGTGTATGTTCATAGGGGAATATTCAGAGTCTCACTGCTGCTGACCTAGATAAGTATAATGCTGATGCTTGGCTTCTTTCTCCTCCTTGTCAACCTTATACTAGACAAGGTGACTCACTTCTGTCTTCCTTTTACTATCACTTAACTTATTTTTATGTAGCGGGTTATAGTAACTGTTTTATGGTTAGGCCTTCAGAAACACTCTGGTGATGCTCGGGCTTCTTCGTTTCTAAAGATTCTTGAGCTTATACCCCATACGGCTAAACCTCCACAAATGTTGTTTGTAGAGAATGTTGTTGGATTTGAGGTTTGTGTTTGTTTAATCAGTTTATTTGTACTTGTTTTTGATATTTTTTTTTCTAATGTTATTGGTGGTGTTTGTTGGTGCAGACTTCGGATACACATATGGAAATGATTGATACATTAACAAAATCAGATTATGTCACACAAGAATTTATTTTGAGTCCGTTGCAGTTTGGTGTGCCGTATTCAAGACCACGTTACTTTTGCTTGGTACTTTCTCTTCCATTTTCATCATGTGATGCATCTCTGTGTTTCTTTGTTTTGCATGTCTCCTTCTACTTTATAATAGTTGCTATGTTTCTTTCACTGTGGGAATGTATAACTAACTATATGCTGGATTATTCTGCTGTTTGCACTTTCTCCTGTACTGTGGCCTTTCTTTCCTTAGTTATCTATTGTTCTTGTTTTCTTTCTCTTTTGCAACTTTTATTTTTTTTGTTTTTGGTTAAAGGATCTTATGAACTTTGAAATCAATTCCTTCTTGTTACTTTGCAGGCCAAAAGAAAGCCTCTGTCATTTCAGTCTCAGCACAATAACAACAAGCTACTCTGGTCTCCAGGCCCGTTATATGGGCGTGATGATCAGGTGGAGTTTGGAAAAAGTCAAGCAGAAGAGGGCTTTGAAAACTTACTTGAGTCTTGCGAACCAGTAGAGAAGTTTCTTGACTTAACAACACAAGTAAACGGCGAGCCAGGTGGTTTTGACGAGTCTGAGAATGGATCCAGAGATTGTGATGGACAGGAAGAAGATCTTGTCTCAAACTCTGTACATCAATATCTAGTACCATCAAGTTTGATAGAGAGATGGGGAAGCGCAATGGGTATCCTTTTATGATTTCATCTTCTTTATTTTAGGACACTTGTTCTGCTCATATTCAACCGATTATCTATCTGTTTTATATTTCCTGAGCTACTTGTAGATATCGTTTACCCTGATTCGAAGAGATGCTGTTGTTTCACAAAGAGTTATTACAGATACGTGAAGGGCACTGGTTCCCTCTTGGCAACTGTCCAGGTATGTTCTTCCTTTGAGTTTTACAATATTGTTTTCCTCTATTTGCTAGTGCTTATCGTGAAGCTATGACCACGCAGCCAAAAGTCAAGGGGAAGGAATCTTGTTTGAAAGAGCAACGGCTTAGATACTTCACCCCGAGAGAGGTTAGCCACAAGCCCTTTTATTTGTTTATTACCAATAGCGATCAGCTTTATTTCAGTGGAAAATGATGTTTTGTTTCTATATTTGATTAGGTAGCGAACTTTCACTCATTCCCTGAAGACTTTGAGTTCCCAAAGCAGATAAGCCTTCGACAAAGGTACACTATTTCTAAACACCACAGAAAAATACTAATAGTTTAATATAGAAGATGTGATAATACAGTCAGTACCTTTATATATCACTCACTATTTGGTGTTTGAAATGTTAAAAGAAAACACAAGAATACTACTTACACTGTGATAAACTCCTTTTGTTGTGCAGATATGCAATGCTTGGAAACAGTTTAAGTGTAGCAGTCGTGTCTCCTCTGCTTCGGTACCTATTCAGTTCTCCAGTCTTGACTGTGGAATAAGTTCAAAACAGCAAGTGACGCGACCAGCTATAGTTCCGATTTTAACGACATGGCAATGTCATCTGTTTTGTATTACTTATTACAACGATTTATATCAGTAAACAGAATCGAATTTGTTTCTCTGTCACCTCAGTGTCACGAGCTAAGTTTTGTTGTGTATGTTTTTTCCTCAATTTATCAATTCGAATTATCAAGGCCCATTATTATAATGGGCCTTATTCGGGCCCAGTAATGAATTCTGGGATAAAGCTTTTCCGTACTAGTCAAACACTTTGAAAGCGAGAGTACAGTCGGCATGTTTTATTCATGCGTTTCTCTTTATCTCTCTCTATTCTCTGAAGCAGAAAGACTTAGAAGGGACACTACAGAGAATAAGCAAAGCCGCAGCGAGGAGGAGAAGCTTCTTCTACTGTGACGGTACGTTCATTACACGCTCCGGGGATTACCTTCTATGTTTTTCGGCGATGTTGCTTTTAAGCTATTACTTGCAGTTTACGACTTTCTTTGTTTTTTTTTTTTTAAAATCTGAAAATAAAAGAAAAAGAACTGTATTTTCCAATTCCACCAACCTTACCTTTACCTAGGGATCTTCCCCGATTGACCGTACACAATTTTTAAAAATGTTTTTTTTCTTTTCTTCTATCACTCAGTTTACTGTGGCTTTGATTATGTTACGCATGGTGCAAGTCATTTACAAGCCCTAATTTACAGGGACAGATTGGAAAATGTCGGGGAATAGTGTATATAATATGCTCCAGGAAAATGTGAGCAAGCCTCGCTTCTCCAAGTCTCTGTCTTTGGGTGAAACCTGGAGTTCTAAATCCATGGTAANTTTTCTTCTATCACTCAGTTTACTGTGGCTTTGATTATGTTACGCATGGTGCAAGTCATTTACAAGCCCTAATTTACAGGGACAGATTGGAAAATGTCGGGGAATAGTGTATATAATATGCTCCAGGAAAATGTGAGCAAGCCTCGCTTCTCCAAGTCTCTGTCTTTGGGTGAAACCTGGAGTTCTAAATCCATGGTAAACTCAATAGTTACTCTCTCCTCCTTTTGCTATCATCAGTTTCCTCATTCAACATACATAGCAACTCTTGTTTTGTACTCACTGTTGTTATTCTCAACTCTTTGCATAGGAGTTAGTTTAGCTTATAAACATTATCCTCTGTAGTGCTTTCAAATGTTGTTGCTAGAAGAGTGTAAGATGTAATCATCCTTCCATGTTTGGTTTTATTTAGAACTCCTTTTTGACGGTTTACTTTAGTATTATTATTGTTCTTTTGAAAAAGCTCAGATCTTTCTTATCTTTCAAGAAACTTTGACGAGATTTTGATATCTCCCCAAGGAGAGAGTATTTATTCGTTTGTTATTGTACTGCTTTCTATGTTTTTATTCTATGCTCTTTTTATTTTTGTTATTGGTTGGCTACATGTACATTACAGGTTCATTTCCTTTTAGCTCATGTTTCTGTTGGATTATTTTTTTCTCATACCTTCTCTATGCATTGCTTAACCTACAAAGCAAGCTTTTCCTTTGGAAAGTTATAGCTTATAGTATCCATGTTTCCTTTTTTTATTGTTAGTATCAAATGTCAACTTTTCTGACTTGTGGTTTTTATGAAGAGGATTATTCCGGAAGGGTTTGTGAAAAGCACGCAGGGAGCCTTTGAACACAGAGTGGTGTTAAGTGTACGTTGGGGTAATTCCTGGCAACTCTGGCTCCAGAGAGACAAGAACGGTCTGTTTATGGAAGAAGAAGACTGGGATGAATTTGTGAATGACAATTTCTTGAGTCCAAATGATGTCTTGCTCTTCACACACGACGACACAATGTTCATTGAAGTGCGTATCTATAAGCAAAATTCGCGCCACTTGAGAGAGATCACTTCAGCACCCCTCGAAGCTGATCCTCAAGATGAAGTGGTTACCACTACTAATCCCCAGAATTCTCCATTGGAAACCTCTGCCTCTGCCTCTGCTTCTGCACCTGCACCTGCACCTTGTAAGACTATTCATGTCTGAACAAATCATATTCACATTCCTCAAGAGTCAAAGCTATTTCTCTCTAAGTTTGGTTCTTTTTGGTTTTTGTGTTGGTGGATACTTCAGCAAGTGGAGCGAGACAGGCCGGTGCTCTTGTCAACAATCCTGAGCAGTACCTTTTAAATCCGAGTAACCCTTTCTTTGTGAAGACACTGGGTAAAAAGATCGATGTTCTGGTAATAATAACAGTTTTGTTTTAGTTTCTTTTCTTTCTCGGATTTAAGGTTTTTGGGTTCAGTCTTGTTGACTTTTAAGCTAAGACTTTGTCTTTTTCTCTGTGTAGTATGTGAGCCATATGGTGACTGAGAAGTATGGCTTACAGTTTGGTCCCCATAATTCTCCCATGTTTTACCTTCTTCCCAACGAAAAAATCGAGGCTACCACTAAGATCTACGGAGGGTGTCCTTGTTTCAATGGCTGGGCTGCTTTATGTCGAAAGTACAAGCTGAAGCAAGGAGACAATGTTCTTTGTGAACTTGAACGCTCAGAAGGTGTTGTTACAGCTGTTAGATTGCATTTCCCAAACGAATAAAGAGATTTGCGTCTCCTTCTATGAGTTAGAGTAAGTTTCTTATATGATTATTGTAATGCTACATGCGACCCTTTGTCTTGGTTGAACAAATTTGCATGCTAAATTTCTTATTTTTATTTTAGCAACTGGAGAGTTATTGTTGAGATAGTCTCTGTATTTGAGAAGTCATCTTACAGGTCTAAACTTGAACTAAGAGTAACACAATCAACTTAATGTTGCTGACTTTTTATTCTTGTAAGTTTGTAGACAACTCTCTATAAAGGGCCTACATACATATATAAGGAGATGGCAACCATCATGTGCCTTCTCATACAAGAAAATACAATATAAACCCTAAATAAACCTCACCTTTTACATCTCTTTTGAATAAAATCAAGAACACACCAAAAGACAAATATATTATGAAAATAAAAACCCACACACTTCATTTCCTGTAACAAGTTTTCATTCAATCTACCGCTTACGAACACTTAAAAGCTTAACATCATCAATCACAGGCCCACACAAAGACGAGAAATCATCACTCCTCATAGCATAGAAAGTGCTGTAAAACATAACTCTAGTTCTTGTCGAGACCGCCACAAACCTGATAGAAGCTCGTTTAAAACCTCCAGTGCCACGAGACTCGTAAGGTACCTTAAGGGTATCTCTTCCTGCAAAAGCCTCAACCACCATTGATCCTTTACAAGCGTTGTTAGCGTCTCCAACTGCGAATGAAAGGACGTAAGTCTTCCCAATGATGGTCCTAGCTACTTGAGCTATGGCACTCTCTTTGCCCGCTACTAGCTCGATGGCTCGGCGACCTTGTGGGATTGAGAAGTGTTCTGTGTCTACGTACTTGACGGCTTTGAGAGACTCAACCATCCAACCGGGTAGAGGAGAGTGGTCGTCTTCTATGAACGGTGGGATTAAAACTCCTGTGGTTGAGCCTGGTAGTACTAGTGGACCTTCTTCAAATCCTCCGTTCTTCAAAATGTTCTCTGTTCAAATCAAAACATAGAAGCTGTAATGATAATGAATATGGTTCTAAAAATCAGTTGAGGCATTAGTCTAGGCGGCAAATTGATATTAGCGCTACAAAACGATTTAAAAGAAAAATTGATTTATACATCTTAAATCGGTTTGGATAATCGGTATAAATAAGCTTAAATCGGTTTAAATAGATATTAGTAAAAATCTGTTAAAAGTGAATATATATCAACAAATCTATTTTTTTCTTTTGTTATATATATATAGATATTGATAATATCTTATATAATAGTATAAAATTATATAAAAAGAAAATTTAGGTTCCACACCTCCGAATAATTGGGATTTAGAATAATCCGCCTCGATAACGCCAAACCATTTTTTTGGACATTATTAACAGCACATGTTCAAGAACTGTTAAAAACAGAGTAAAACAAAGTAACTACTAGACAGATTTTTTTTTTTTAATTGATTTACACAAACCTTTGTTCAAAAAAAAATTGATTTACACGGCTTAAATCAATTTAAACCAATCTAAATTCGTATCTAATTTTGTGTAAACGTTCATTTAAATGGATCTTAGAGTAAATATGTTAAATTAAGTAATAATTTGAGACAATTTGTCTAATTTCTTTTGTTTTATACATTTAATTTTGATAATTCATCATTAAAATTTCATAATAAAAACAAAAAAACAAAAATATCTTATATAAATGTAAAATATATGAAAAAATAAATTAATAATTTAGGTTCCACTCCCATTCAGCCTAGAGCGATTTTTAAAACATTATTATAACAGCACATGTTCAAGAATTGTTAAAAACAGAGTAAAACAAAGTAACTACTTACTGTTTGTTGGTCGGGGAGGGTAAAGAGCTCTCATGGCAACACCATCAATNAATATCTTATATAAATGTAAAATATATGAAAAAATAAATTAATAATTTAGGTTCCACTCCCATTCAGCCTAGAGCGATTTTTAAAACATTATTATAACAGCACATGTTCAAGAATTGTTAAAAACAGAGTAAAACAAAGTAACTACTTACTGTTTGTTGGTCGGGGAGGGTAAAGAGCTCTCATGGCAACACCATCAATGAGAGGACCACAAGCTGGATCCTCTTCTTCACCTGGATTATGAATCACTATCTCAGCAACCTCACTTTCCGCCTGAAACGCCCAAGCGTATAGATCCCACCCACTGCTACTATACACCGTCTGCACAGGAATGACCCCAGAGTCAGGTGCCACGGAGATGTTGAGCCTCTCGTCTTGAGCGCAAGTCCTCGCGGCGCTGAAAGTGAGAGAGTAATACATTCCTTTCACCACTTTAAGTCTTTGTTTGATGGACGCTTCGTTTCCGAGCCGGACTGCGAACTTTCCTGCGGGGACAACGAGAAGCATGTCTCCTTGTTTGTGTCCTGAGCTTATGTACTCGACGAATCCTGTCACTTCCCAGTTCGGGATTGCCATCTTGTTTATTACTTCGGTTCCTTTCAAGTCTGATGGTTTTGGTCCTAGCTCGAAGTCACCGTTCGGTAACATACCTGTCAATTACCATAATGACCTTTTTTATTAGGGATTTTTAAAATAATTAATTTAGAAAAAGAAAGATATATATAGGCACGTGAGGTGTGTCTGAGAGACAGCCTAACTGGGCCTGTGTATAACATGGCTTAGCTTCCTTTGTGGGCCCATCCAACTTCATTGATTGAAAATGGTCCAAAAACTTTTTAATAGCGGTGTGTTTGTGTCAGAAACAGGGTTAAAATCGTAATTTTCGCATCCGCTTATGGAAATTGTAACTTCGTTTCATTACTATTGTGTAATAAGTAGAGAAAGAATTCAAGTTTTTTCTTTTAAAGATATGTCAAGTTTCTTTATAGTAAGAAATCTGAAATGTTATAATTGTCTATGTGTAGAATTTAAAGAAAGCTAACCGTCACGGAAGGGGACAGCGGCGGAACTGGCGGTGGCAATGAGAAGAAAGACGAGAGACACGACGGTGACGCCTCCCATTGTAAAGGAGCACCGGGAAGAGAGAAAAGAGATAAGTGTTTAGTGTAGAAAGTAATTAACAAAGGGAGTTGGGGTATTGCTTATAAGGAAGTGGAGATATCAAAGTACCCTTGTAGGTTGCTATATATTACGAGTGTGTGCCACTGACTACTGATGTAGTTCGCCTATCCCACGTGGGGTAGTGACCTCACTGCTTTTACATAAGATTTGGAACCTTATTGAAATAAAAGTTTTAGTTTAGTCTTTAATGCTATTAGTTTAGTTTTAGTACTGTTTTACAATTATTTAGTCATGTCACGGTGAGGCGGTGACTGGGAAAGACAGACGACCAGAAGCAAAGAACAAAAAAACACTAAACGTGATTATGCGACAATCTCTTATCCACATGTCATTAGCAGTAGCACATGTAAACAGTAAACACTTGAATTACGTCTAAGATTGTGAAAATAATTGATATTTTTTTTAGTAATCTTTACGTTTGAATCTATGTTACATGTCTGATTAATTATGATAAATGTTAGTATAAGGCTAATCTTTTTGTCGTTTTGATTGAATATCGGTGGAGATACTACGAGGAGAATCGTTTATCATGGCGTGGCATGTGTTGCACCAAAAGCAAAGTTAAAAGATATTTTTAAGTTTTTTGTCTTCTTTGATTTGTCTTTTCGTGCGTTTTTTCTTACTGTTTCTTGGCTGTATTTTTTAAAAAGAAATTATAGAAACGAGAAATGTGTAGGCTATGAAGGGCACCATTCACTGGCTAGGAATGCGGTTTCCAAAGTTGGCCAGAGAGATGGCCTCAGAAATTCAGAACTGCGTCTTATTCTCATGTTTATCAGATCAAGAAAGGGTGTGCCAATTCTATTAGTAAAGGAATGTATTTCTCTTCTCAATGTTATCCAAAATAAAAAACATAAACCACAACGTATTAGTTAGCTTTATTGAATTTCAACTATATCTGAACTTTTTCAGTTGCTACACAAACTTATATAAATCATATGTAAGTTACTTTTATGGTAAATGATATTTTAGTTATTAGCCAGCATTGATTAGGAAAGTGAGAGTAAATTCGAACGAACCATGATCTGTGTTTGATATACAATGAAGGGACGAGAAACCGTCGGAAACGTGGGTGGGGCCGGTAGGTAACGAACGAGTGGGTCAGGCCCGTATAGAAAGGAAGAAGAGATAGCGAAAAGAGACGCGCAAAAGGGCAGGATCATGCATCTGTTTCCTCCTCCTTGTACACTTCTTTTACTCTTCTCGGGGCCCATTGGCCTCATCACTCCATCCACGCACAAGCCTTACGATCGACAACCTTTAAGAATTATTAGGTTAATCATATTGTAAAAGACAAAACATTTGAGTTCCGTTGTTATGTTCATATGATTAATGCTATATTAGATCAATGAACCTAGAATTGTGTGGTTCGTACCCCGAGTTAAACAATGTATTACTAGACTTTAATCAGCTCGCCAGCATGGATATATTTTTGTTTTTATAATTATATTTAATTTTTATGATATTTCGATAAAATATATTATTATAGTTTGGTGTTTTATATTAAGTAAATTAATATTGTTAGATATTATTAATATATAATTATTCATATTTTCTTCATATTTTTATGAAACAACATATATTAATATATAACTTTTTTCGTATTTTAATATTTTTATTTAAATTTAAAATAAATATATATCTATATAAGAATCAAAATAGAATATTTATCTATTAAGCCCGTTTCGTTAAGGTTTTTATGTAAATAGATTAATTTTTTAAAATATTTCTCATTGATAAAACAATTGTTTAATGGTTTTTATTTTATTTTAAATAAGCTAAATTTATTTTCTTTCATTTACAAACATAAAACATCAACAGCAAACTAAAAAATCATATAATTAAACAATACAATTTTGTACTTTTTATAATTTATTTTGTTAAACTTAATTTTTTCTTTCTATTTTTTATATTTTAACTCTATAAATTAAATATATTATAAAATAGTAGTTATTTTTATTTAAAAATTAAATAGTATTTATTTCTAATATTTAATAATAATTATGAATTTAATGAATGATTTAAAATTAATAAACAAAATATTTTCTAAGATTTTGTTAAAGAATATAGGAAATATTAAAAAATAATTAATGATATAGTAGAATATTCTTATGTGTGATAGTATATTTTCTTCAAATGATCTAATATATAAATATTATTTTTATGTATTAAAAATTACTAATAAAATGGTACAGTGACTTTGTATCGGTAGATAAAAATATGATTTTGTTTTAATAGATTAGATTAGTTATCAAGAAGTTTTGGAACTTGAAAGCCAGTTTACCACTAGTAAAATTCTACCGTATAGCCATGAGTAAGCCACTGCAATATCGTGGTTAAACGTAAAACACCACGACAAAGCTACGCAAATGCCACGAAATAAAAAAAACCACGAAACGTATGGAAATAAGCCACGAAACACCCACGAAATGTAGTTGTGGCAAACTAAGCCACGATATTCGCTACGACGACTTCGTGGTATTGCATAAAAGCCACGATTTTCCCACAAAAATTAGTAGTGGCATATCTTTTTTTTTCTGCCGACATAAAAACCACGAATATGCCACGGTTCTTCATGGCTTTCTTGTTTTTTTTCGGTATTTTGTGCCGACATAGATCGGTGAAAGTGAGTTAATCATGTTAGTTTCGTGGCTTTTTTCGTGGCTTAAAGGTAATTTTTATCTTAGCCACGCTTTTGTACTGGCTTTGTCGTGACTTCAGTTAATAATCAAACCTATCTGAGAGAAAGATTCAAGTCATTATTCTCTCTCAAAATTTTGAAATACACTATGTCCTTCTACTTTGAATCAAGAGAATGGATGGATGAAAGGTTTGATCCAGGAAGTAATTCTGTTTCTGAACTCTTCATTGGAGGTAGTAATGCATTTCTTCAATTTGCATGTAATCAAGCCGATTATCAGGAAAGGCAAACGTTATTGTGTCCGTGTAAACGGTGCAAAAATGTGAAGCAACGAGAAGTGAAAGTTGTCTCAAGACATCTATTCTTATACGGCTTTAAGGGGAATTATTATGTGTGGGAGAATTATGGAGAGAAATTCTATGATGTGGGTGAGAGTTCTGGGGCGAATAACTCGACGGGTGAAGATGGAATGTGGGAGAATCATACTTGGAATGGTCAAGAAGATTGCTACCAGGAGATTCCAGTAATACAAGCGGACATTTCACCACCCTACATGCCAGAACCTATAGAAGAGACGGAGATAGCGGATCCATATCATGATAATGTTTTTGATGCATTTGAAGCAGCGACCCAACCTCTTTACGAAGGGTGTGCATAAGGAATATATCAGTTGTCTCTTGCTTTACAGATTATGAAAGTAAAGACATATTATAATTTGGTGGAAGCTTGTGTAGATGAGATATCAGAAGTATTTAAAAATATGCTTCCGCGGCCGAATAAAGCTCCATCAACATATTACGAGACAAAAAAACTGACAAAAACTCTTGGGTTACCCGTGCAGAAGATTGATGTTTGCGTGAAGCATTGTATGCTGTTTTGGAAAGGAGACGATGCGAAATTGGTCTAATGTCGGTTTTGTGGAGAAGATCGCTATTATCCGAACAATGGAAAAGGGAAAAACAAACCAAAACAGCGAATGTTTTACTTGTCGATTACAGAGCGTCTGAAACGTGTATACCAACTCGAGGCAACAGCTTCTAATATGCGGTGGCATAAAGAACATGTGTCTCTGGAAGGTGAAATGCATCATCCATCTGATGCCATAGCGTGGAAACACTTCAATGAGGTATATCCTGCATTTGTTGCTGAAAGTCAGAATATTTATCTATGCTTATCAACAGATGGGTTTAATCCGGTTAATATGAGTGGCGAAGCACATTCTGTTTGGCCAGTTATTGTAACTCCATACAATTTACCTCTGGGAATGTGCATGAAAAGATAATTCTTGTTACTTTCGGTACTAATACCCGGGCCTAAACATCCGAAGAAAATCTTAGATATTTACTTGCAGCCGTTGATTGAAGAATTACAAAGCTTATGGAAGGATGGTGTGGAGACTTATGATGTTTCAAAGAAAGAAAGTTTCATAATGCGAGCAGTGTTGATGTGGACGATAAGCGATTTTCCAGCATATGAGATGCTTTCAGGGTGGACAACTCATGGTCGAATGGCATGCCCATATTGTCAAGATGAGACAGATGTGTTCTGGTTGCCTAATGGACGGAAACATAGTTGGTTTGATTGCCACATAAGGTTTTTAGATGCAGATCATCCTTACAGGAAAAACACTCAAGCATTTAGGCGGGGAAAACCGTTGAGGATCCTCCTCCACCATGGTTGACAGGGGAAGAAATACTACGTGAAAGGATAAATAATATCAAAGTTTTAAAAGAATCTGTTACCTATGGAGGGAATGGACATGATAATCCATCGAAGACAATATCTGGTTATGGAGTTACTCACAATTGGGTAAAGAAGAGTATCTTTTGGGAATTACCGTATTGGGAAACTCATCTTCTTCGGCATAGCCTTGACTTCATGCACATTGAGAAAAACTTCTTCGATAATGTGACCAACACGTTGTTAAATGTTCCTGGAAAGACTAAAGACAACATCAAAAGTCGATTAGATCTTATGGGAATATGCAAAAAACGGGATTTAGAGATAAAGGAAGATGGAACAATGCCTGTGCCAATTTTTAGGTTATTAAATGCCAGAAAACGACAATTCCTTCTATGGCTGAAAAATGACATCAAATTTCCCGATGGCTACTCTTCCAAATTTAGTCGATGTATTGACGAAAACACTTTAAAGCTACATGGACAGAAAAGTCATGATTATCATGTCATAATGGAGCGGTTTTATCCATTTGCGTTTGCTGAACTCCTTCAAAAAAATGTTCACACAGCGATTAGAGGTATTTCTTTATTGTAATGTTTATAAAATTTATTATAATTTTTGTTATAACTTTAGTGTTTAGTTTACAGATATTGCGCTCT